CTAACTCCGACATGACCTTGTTGTCGGTAAAAGCTAACTCCGACATGACCTTGTTATCGGTAAAAGCTAACTCCGACATGACCTTGTTGTCGGTAAAAGCTAACTCCGACTGCTCAGAACTATGCCATTTCGTGTTTGTATTTTTTTCTGTTCATGAGTATTTATTATTCTAACATAGAGATAACCGTATGAAATTAGCATTAATGAATGTTAATATAAAGGATTAGTTTATAGATGTTTAAAAATGCACTAGAAAGATCTGGCTTTCAGATATTGTTACTTGCTTTTAACGTTGTTATTCATTAGCTGTTGATTTATGCTCAAGCCACAACCTTTATGATGGCTTTAATTCTCATAAGCATTAATAGCAATTATTAATAACCAAAAACAAAAAATAACCGACGTGGGTTGCCATAGATTACAAATATATGTAATGTGACAATCAGTTGTTACTATAGAGACCAAACTTTCCTAATGTGTTGTAAAGGTAGGATAAATAATAACCTAAGGTATTGTTCAATTAGTTTCAAGAGTCTTGGGTATTTGATCCAGCCTGGAATTATTTAATCCCATATCGCTAATTTTCTTCGTGTAGCTTTTAGCGTGTTGTCTCACTAGACGAAACGAAATACGTTTAGCAAAATTCAATCGGATTAAAGGATTTTTTTTAAATTTAAAAATACCCCTATTAGAGGAAACTATAGGGAATACAAAATTATCCAATCAAAAATGAACGCCGATTTTACTTTGTTTTTCTTTTCATTTTGTGAACGAAATAGAATCCAGATAAGTTTTGTTTGTTCGCATTCGTGGTTTTCTTTGGGCCTAGTTTAATAACACACCGAACTAATTAAAACAAATGACACTTTGCAAAAGCTTAAATAAATATGAGAAAATAGAATTTAATCTATTTTTGAAATGTCTGAACTCGTGCAGCCAAAACTTAAATTGTAAAATTATATAGAGGAAAAAGTTTTAAAAGTTGATAATTAGTGGAAAGATACATTTTAAGACGTCTAGATTATGTTATAGAATAATTAACTGACATTACTGTAGGGAAAAAACAATAATTAAAATGTTTTGGGAATATCATAGATTAACTGAATATTTATAACAAGTACTGTAAAAAAGTCAAGCTTTACGAAGGGCGTCTGCCATGTATTGTTCCAAGAAAAACTTTTGTTTTTAAGCGCAGAGCTACAAAATGAGATATTTTGCGCTATGCCAAACACAAAGATCGAGCCTCAAATTCTGGCTTTATAAGCCATCATCCTAAACGTTCGAACACCAAGGACAAAAACAAAAATTGATTTACATGCTATTTATAAGAGTTGCTTTACAAATTTCAGTTTTTTTTCACGTCCATATAACATTAAAATGTGTAATAAAGGCGTGAAGTAATCAAATATAACGTTTTCTTTCGGAGGATATTTATCTGATCAAGATCAAGTAAAAATATAAAAAAATGCTTTCAAAATTTAAAATAGAAAACAATAAACAATATACACTTAGAAACTGCACATTGGTCTATCTTGACCAAGATATTCAACATTAGAACAATAACAGAAAAGGTAAACTAGAGTTGGCATTAATATTTTCAGTCAGTATCTGTTTCTAGTATATTACGCAAATAAACAGCCAAGAAAATTGGAGATAAATAAACATATATAAAGGTGAGTCATCCTATAGATAAACTAGTACGGAAGGAAAAATTACGCATTAAAAACGTAATCAGAATAAAATATTCACTGGAATTATGCTACTTTTCTTGTATTTATGTTGGCTATGTCAAAGGTTTTGGAATTGAATCTGACTCTGTAGAAGAAATTTAATTGTGTTTATTTGTATACAATGGTAAAACAATGTGAAGGAAAAGATGCTGTTGCGGATAAACACAATATAAACGGAATACAAACTTTACTGTGGTTTATGATATCTTACTTTATGTTCGTGTTTAATATGTTGAAGGTTTTATAATTGAATCTGAATCTGTAATAAAATGTGAAAGAAGAGACGCTCATCTGGATCAAAGATTAAATACGTATTGCGACGACTCTAATGATTTTAATTCCTATTTTTCAAGTCGCGTAATATCCAATTAACTTATCATAATCTAAATGAAAATGTTTCTGTACTGTTGAATAGGAGCGTGGGATTGTCTTAAACGTTTTGGAGTTTATTTTGGCCATTATATTTTCTCCACAATGACAGATATTCGATTTCAGCTCGGTGTTCCTAAGAATAGGAAATGATGTTTTTCTATAATATTTTCCTAATGTCCAATAATTGGGAGTTTGTTCAAACGTGAGGGTGCTGGTGTGAATTATATTGGTTTTTAATCGATTTGTCCTTAGGGGGCGTGCGAACTGTACGAGTTAAGTACATTGACGAAATCTTCCATTCGGAACTGTCGCTTTGTCTTGATGTTCTGTATTACCCTTGACATCGTGACATGTTTAAAGTAAGCACAAGGCTACATAATGGGCTATATGTGCTCTGCCCACCACGGGTATCGAAACCCGGTTTCTAGCGTTGTAAATCCGCAGGCATACCGCTGTGCCATTGGAGGGGGTGCTCATGTTTCTTACAAAACAAAATATATTTTAGTTAGTGATCAAAAACATCCCACGTGATTTGTCGGTTGCTATAAAAATTGCTTACGTTTGGTTTATTTGTTTGTTTATTCACATTGGGCTATCTACGATGTCCACCGCGGAAAGTCGAACCCCGGATTTTAGCATTGGTCCATATTCTTATCGCTGTTCCCTCAAGGTTCGGCTTATGTTTAGATACTATTTACTTGTCGCAGTTTGTCAGATTGACAGTGACCTTTCTTAGCCTACCAACTGACAAACTACATTTTAGGAAATAGAAGGTTTGAAACTCACAATGGATCTTTTCTGTTTCATGCACCGCGTTCAACTAGAACAAATATATTTTTAATGTAGTTTGTAATGCTGATTTCATAAATATAAATTAAAATTTAGAGAAGGCAAAAGAAATATTTTTTTTATACTTTTATTTTGCTAGGTTAGGTCAGTTTATGTGAGGTTAGATCAAGCTAGAGTAATTAGTAAATAATTGCACGTTTTTTAAATAAAAAATAAATTTCATTAAAAAATTATTTAAAAATAGAAAATATTTTTCCATTTCTTCCACTTTAAAAATAAATTTTCCAAATTTTAATCCATATATCTGAAATCTGCAGCAAATTGAAAGTACTTGGAATGTGGTTAAGAGACCTAAGAAGCGACATTGCGGAACCAATCGTAACATCATTGACTCGTATCTCTGCGAATTCGTCGTAGGCATGAAAATGATGATCTCTTCAAGCAAATATTTAAGAATATTTTTGAATTTTCATATTGAATTTGTTACATTGACACTAGATACTTTGTACTGTCTTGATGTCTTGCAATTCTTTTAAATACATATGTATATATGTAATGCTAAAAGTACTTCCTGTGTTTCGTAAATAAAATAAAAAAATATTTAAAAAAATTTCTTTTCAGTTCTTCAAATTTTAATTAATATTTCTGAAATCAGCATTAAAAACTAGATTCAAAAATGTATATTCTTTTCTATTTGAACGCGGTACATGAAGCAGAAAATATCCCTCATAATTTCAGTTATTTACTTAAGTTCTTGTATTTATCATGTCTGATCCTTCGTTGACTCAGTAGTAACGATATAATTCGTGGTTCGATCTCTACGGTGAACATAGTTCAGATAGCCAATGGAGACGTTACGCGCTAAAACAAGATAAATCATCATGGCTAAATCTAATTTTTTTGGTTATATTCTAATTCGCTTGGCCCGGCATAGCCAGGTGGTTAGGGCACTCGACTCGCAATCTGTTGGTCGCAGGTTCGAATTCCCGTCCCACCAAACATGCTCGGCCTTTCAGCCGTGGGGGCGTTATAAAGTGACGGTCAATCCCACTATTCGTTGGTAAAAGAGTAGCCCAAAAGTTGGCGGTGGGTGGTGATGACTAGCTGCCTTCCCTCTAGTCATACACTGCTAAATTATGGACGGCTAGCACAGATAGCCCTCGTGTAGCTTTACGCAAAATTCAAAAACAAACAAACAAATCTAATTCGCCTTTCATTTTCTTTTCACACGGTAGGGTGGGGTGTGCTCTAGACTGTGTATCTAAGAGTCCATGTTTTTCGTCTCGTTGCTACAAAACCTCGCTTAGCACCTTGGGGCTGTAACAGCGTTATAAGTGTAACAGTTTAAAAACCTATTCAATTCAAGTAGCCCAAGACTCGACTGTGGATTCTATTGACTAGCCACCTTTCTCACTAGTCTATCAGTTCAAAAACGAGGAAGGCTAGCACAAATAGCCCTTAGGTAGTTTTGTTTAAATATATGAAAAACACAAAAAAGCCCTCATGCTTTTCAATTCAATTTATCGTGGATGGTGAATTATAAAGCACACTTGTTCGCATTCAACAATCCAAGAAGGTGTGGTAGAAACTTATGATCACACCTTAACACTCTCTGTCTAGCTCTTTTTAGACGTTTTTTTTTCGGAAACTTATGTTAAACAATTTTGGATCATTATACTTGTACGTTCAAGTATTTCCAACATAATAAAGAAAATATTTCCACAATTTCTTAAAAGTACAATCACGGCAAAATTTGATGTTTTATGTAAAGTTAGTTTTTTAAAAAACAAATATTTACTCTGACGGAACAAGTCAGTATAAAGAGCATTTCATGTCACCTAGTAAAAAAATTATAATAATATACAGTTGCATCTTAGGTTTTTTTTGATAAAGCTAATAAACACGTCTAAGACATAAAAAGAATTGATGTATATGTTCTCTGAACAACAAACCACTTGTTAGAAATAGACATTAAAGCGTGACGTTAAACTTGTCCACATCTAATGATTCATCGTTTGATAAAGCCATCTTTTCAATATTACGTTTTTGAACTAAAAGCTCGGTGATAGCCTTGGATAAAGTATAAAAGCTAATAAAAGCCAAACTTACCGTTCAAAATGGAGAAAATTTACTTTGTTCGGGAAGTTTATGGAAGTTTCCAGTCTTTGTTCAGTTAGCTTCAACTTTCTTGAGTAAATGTTTCATGAAAAACTGGCGCCTGCGCTTTAAATACAGTTAATGTTCCACCTACTTTAACCGTTCGTCGAATTGCTACGAGGATCATCACGTGATTTTCATGAAGTAAAGAAAAGGCCAATCAGTAGATGCCTCCAAAATAGACACAAATATTCCTCTTTTGTGGAGAAACGAAAACAAAAACAGACTGCAAAAAGCAAAATTTACATAAACAAAAGAAATTGGAGACGGTATAGGTGGACGGGAATAAGTAGCTTAATTAGTATAAACATAATGTAACCTCCAAGCTACTGTTCTTATTTACAATAAAATATCTCGTGAGATTTAAGAAAGTTTCCATCTTGAGTGCGATATGAAATATTCAGTATGAAAATAGTTTATGAATGTATAACAAAACTCATGTGTTAATAATATACAAAGAAAATGTGTCTGGAGAGCTGTACGAGCCTTTTATAATTATAGAGAAATGAGCATGTAGCTTTAATTTGCCAATGTCTCCATTTTAGTCAGCAATATTTAATTGTCCATTACCTTTATTTAGATATTTTTTAGAGACCAACTTTACTAGAGCAGTTAAAACGTTAAACTTTAATAAATTAATGAAATCATTCGGATGTAAATGTATGTGCTAGAATTTTTAAAACATCATAACATCCTCTAGGCGGCCGGCATGGCCATGTGGTTAGGGCATTCGACTCGCAATCTGAGGGTCGCGGGTTCGAATCCCCGTCACACCAAACATGCTCGGCCTTTCAGCCGTGGGGGCGCTATACTGTGACGGTCAATCCCACTATTCGTTGGTAAAAGAGTAGTCCAAGAATTGGCGGTGGGTGATGATGACTAGCTGCCTTCTCTCTAGTCTTACACTGCTACATTAGGGACGGCTAGCGCAGATAGCCCTCGTGTAGCTTTAAGCGAAATTCAAAAAACAAACAAACAATCCTCTAGGCGATTGTGAGAAGAGAAATTGTTTCGCCTAGTTAAAAAAAAAATGTTGAGGAAGTACCATTATATTTTTCAATAATGGATCATTTTGTTTCCTAAAATCAAACTGTTCGATTCTACCAGTTGCTAATCAGAGTAACAACAAACGATGCGTTCGTAAAGAGTTGGTGTTACTGCAAATGTTCTATAATTTCAAATATAATTTTACAGGGCTTTTCGTTGAATTTTTGTAAAACGTGTACCATTACCGAATGCCTTTTGAACGATAGTTTTCATTTTTCAAGTATTGACAAAGGTTCATCACACTTAAAGTAGAAGTTCTGTGTACTAACATTATTCACACACATATACGTTCTAATTTAATGTAGAGATAAAACCTATTGTTAACACTTGTGAGTCCTGCTGCCGAAAACTCACTTGTGACAAAGGTTCATCACACTTAAAGTAGAAGTTCTGTGTACTAGCATTATTCACACACATATACGTTCTAATTTAATGTAGAGATAAAACCTATTGTTAACACTTGTGAGTCCTGCTGCCGA